AATAATAATAATAATAAGATACAGTGGCAAGCTAAAACAAAATAATAATCATCTAATCTTAGTGATTAATTTCTGTTGTATACATATATAAAAATTGAAAAATCTAACCTCATTGTGAAGCATGATCTAATTGATTTACATGAGAAGAAAGAAAAACTTTGCTAATAATTCTCTTGAAAGAAAACCCAAACAAAGACAAAGAAGTTTCTGATACAGAAACGGAACCACTTTCACTAATCTCATAACTTCTTGGACTACCAATCACAATCTCAACACCAGCATCACGAGAATCATCGTCAACAATCAAAGATCTACAAACTGGGCAATTGCTATGTGAATTCAACCACATGTCAATGCATTCAACATGAAAAGCGTGTCCACATTTTGGTAACTTTCTTCCAATCTCCCCCTTTTCAATGTAACTCAAACATATGATACATTCTAGTTCTTCGTTTTATGTTCCGACACAAATGTCGGAATCTTTGAGACTGTTGTTGGGTTGAGTCCGTTAAAGGGTTCGATGTTGAAATCATGGTGAAAGCTGGAAGAGTTGGAACGTTGGAGAGGTTTACATTCGCCGGAGGTTGCCGGCGCGGGGAATTGACAGTGAGTTGAGTGAGCTAGGAAGCATTTGGCGTAGACATGTAGAAGGAGGGACGAAGAGGATTACGAGAAGGAGAGAAATAATGGCTGCAAGCATGATGATGTTGTTGTTGTTGGTTTCGTGGGAGAACATGTCCTGAGCGAGTTGACTCATTGAGTCGTGCTGGCTCAGCATTTGTAAGGGAAACTGGGTGGTGGTTAAATGGGTGAAATGGGTTTGGATTGTTTTTGGAGGAATGGTTTGAAGTTGAAGTGATTTGTTATGGTTTTGTTAGAGGAGAATCCTTGTATTCAAGTTGGACAAGTGGTGGGAAAATGGAGGCTAATGCATGTGAGAATGAGGTGAGAAAAAGGAGAGGAAGAAATGAAGCACTCGTGAAGGCAATGGCGTGTGGAAGGTGGTAGGTGAGTTTTATTAGATTCATGTGGAGGGTTCGAGACTCAGAGAGTATATATATAATATATATATATAATTTCTAATTAATTAATTTTGGGGTAGCAAGGTCTTGTGAATTCTGACCAACAAAATAAGATATTCGCTTGTCAGTTGGTTTTGGTCATGTTTTAAAAATCAGACTGATTTGGTCCAACTAGTAAAATCAGAACATGAGAAAGATTATTAGTTTCATTGATTGTTGGATAGGATAAATTATTAAATTAATAGGAATTGGTCAGAACAGTTTAAAATTGATAAAAACCAATGAATCAAAGGTTCTAAAAATTGGTAGATCAATTGTATTTTTTTTTTCTCCAACAAAATGACATCATTTTTATATTTTTTAAATATAAATATAATATAATTTTTATTCAAAACTTATTTAAGCAATTTTCTCTTGTTTGTAATTATATCTTATTGAAAATTTATTTTAATTTATATTTTATACTATTTTATTGTGTATTATAACTATATTTAAAACTTAAATTTAAAGAATTGACATCTGAAATTATGATATTTTAAAATTTATAAGTGTTATAAAAAAATTTAGAAACCGAATCATCTGAATCAACCGATTCTAATATATATATAATTTTATTATAAAAATTAATTTATTTAATTTAATTGTTCGAGTTAATCTGATTTAGTCATGCAATTTAATCAATAATTCAATAATTTGATTAATAAACTAATAACATTTTTTATAAGCGATTTAATTTTTAAAACATTGGATTTTGAGGCATTCATGAATTTAAATAGCATATTTTTCAATGCCTTTATATATTACTCAATTCATCTGCTAAAATTTCTAAAATATTTTAGTTTAAGAATTGGAATTCACGTGTACTTTTTTCTGTCTGATCAGTCCCAAAAAATATTTAATACATATCCTCTTTAGCCTATCAATTTCGTTTAAATTATTCCTTAATATCCTAAAACAATTAATATAGTTTAAAAAACTAACTCCACATCAAAACATAAAAAGAAAATAAATTTGAAAAACTTATCAAATAAAATTGATTAATTCGAAACTGAAGTTTGGATGTTATAGATGCCGGAAAGGAGGAGAAATAGTTTCCATGATATAAGTTTGAATGATTGAATTAGAAGTAAAATCGTTGTACAGTTTAAATGAATTTTTTTGAGAATTTTTTAGAAAATGAATGAGGGAGAGAGAAGGGCCTGACACAGAATATGAAACAATGTATCTTTGAACTACTCACAATGATTTACATAAATAGTGTTTACGAATATGTATTTTCGAACGTACTCTTTATATATACTAGAGTGTTTATTCAATTTTGGTATGAGAAATATCTAAAATAAATACATTCAGAAATATATCTCCGAACACTAGAAATATTTTACTTTTTATAGCCGTGTGTGATAACAGATAGACTTTGTTTGAGAGTTTCGAGGGAAGAAGAAAGAGTACTTCGAAAAATAATTTATTAAAAATAGAGAAATTTTTAACATTTTTTTTAAATTTGTTTATTTTTTTTTTTTAAGATACTATAACAACAAAAATTATATTTGAATAATTTTTCTAAACCGTACAAAATCCTTCAAAACTATCCTCCCATTCAATTTTTGAGTTCCTCGTGAGGTTTTTATTCCTATGAAAAAAAAAAACAAACTCTTCAAAAACTTTCTAATTAAAATTTTACTATTCTTTTTACTCAATCTTTTTTATTTTTTTAAAATTTTTCTCTCCTTTCCTCTCCAAACTCACCAACAAATTTTTAAAGAGGAAAAGAATATTCCCTTTTTCTTAAGTGAGGTATAGGATGATGTGGGGACCCATATTTACTGTGTTAAAAGAGATGGATGAATGTGAATTCAGGGGTCCCATGTGAATTGTAAACAGATACAATAAATAAAGCTATTTTTTTCCTTCCTTTTATTTTGACCACCCTAGTAGAGAGTACTATAGCCACCCTCGGTCCACTGCTGACTGCAGTAGCAAATCTTTGCATAGATTACGTCCCCATATTTTGCTGCATGTTTCAGTGATACATCCACCCCTTTTCAAGCTTTTTTCCCCCTCCTTTTAATAGATTTTATAGAGTAGCCATGTCGTACAGTACACCACAAAATTAACAATTGAATATATGGTTAAGAATTAATCAAGCAGGTTAGATTACAAAAGTTATGTGTATAAACTAAAAACAAACTCATTTGCTTCTTCTAAGACCTCTTCCAACACTCTGATCATAATTCATTAAGGTATTGGAAAGCATTACTTATCTTTTGTTTTATTTTTCTTAGATGTTACATTGATTAGTCTTTATACAAGAGAAAGTTTACATATGTTTTAGATTCATTCAATAAATAAAGTATTTAGTCTATATTTAGTTTAAATACATTGTTTATTCAATGAATTTGTAATTTCTCTCACCTCACTCACAAAATCACACAGCACTAGAACATGTGATCCAAGTCTGTTTTTCATTAGTCCTTAGTTGGCCTACAAATGCTGAGACCTATAGCATGCTAATTGTAGTCTTTTATGACAGGACCAAGTTTTCTCGTGTTGGTCCAAACCTATTTGTTTAGGTTCCTTGCTGTAAAATGGGAGGGGATTGGGTGAATTAACTATTCATATTCATGGGACTTTGTGACTTCAGTGTTTTTAATAGATGTTGTACTCCTTTTGGTTTTGAAGTTTAAAATTTTTCAAATAAGGAACTAAAGAATGACCATCAATAAGAACAGAGTTTTAACTTAGAGGATCATAATTTACATGATAATTCATCATTTTTCTCCTCTTATAAAAGAAAAAAGTTTGCGTAAAATCTATCCTTTCCAGCCCTTTTCATCTCTTCTTCTCTTACTGAAATCAGTCCATTAGTTTGTATCTTTTCTCTTGGACACCTGTAACTCCCAATTCTATCTCTATTATAGTATGAAGTGGCACCTGTAAATGAGCAAGACCTCACATTAGATATCTTATGCTAAATTTTGTTTCATTAAAACGTGTCACAAATTGTGTGGTGAACTTTGCAGAAATATTCTAACACGAAAATAAACTAAACCTGCCACTTAAATATTTGCCAAAGGTTAAATGAGTTGAACGGATTAAAAGAATTGGAGTTCAAATTCTAGTGAAGAGGAAAATAACAACTAATATTTGCCAAAAACTCAACCTGGCTTTTGCATCAACTCCATATGATGATAGTAAGAACAACACATTCAAATAAATATGATTCCATATATTACCTCCATATGTGGAATTTCTTTCAAAGGCCTGTCGGTAAAATAAGCATATAATGCCCTCAAAACTGCCTGCAATAAAAGAAGTATTGGGGAAAAAATCTCAAGAATCAAAACCAGTAAAAGATACACAAATGCAAGTTTACTTTAACATCGTAATATATGCATTACCTGGTGAGATACCACAACAACAGGTGCCCGTTGCCGCTCAAGCTCAATAATTACAGGCTCTAACCTGAAATATCATTAAAACATACGTTATTTACGTCAAACAAGTAGTAGCTAGAATCTAAATAGTGTTAAAGATGAAATGTATCATCAACCTTTGAATAACATCCAGGTAAGACTCCCCACGAGGATAACGATATCTAAGTTTGTCCTTTTTGCGAGATCTACAATAGCAAAAAGAAAATATTAAAATAAAATAAAATAACTAAAGGCACTGAACACTGAACATTTTAATCGGCATTCTGCTCCTATCAAGCACTTGATTTTTTTTTTATATTACCAGTTCATTCAGCGTTCAAATATGCAAGATTAAAGTTTGGGGCATACTCGTATTCCTCTGGCATGTTCTTCTTGATTTCTTCGTATGTCATTCCATCACACACCCCAGCATCTATCTCATCAAGTGCACGCCATTGTATCTAACATATATAGAAGGCAAGTGCAGGAAGACCATTAATATGCTACTTTGTTAATCCATATCTCCTGATTTAAGAATGAACCTAACCTTAGGAAATCCACCAATGGGGCCTGCTGTTAGAATTGTTCGCTGCAGTGTACTGGTCCATATCTAGACAGAGGTTGCAAGCATCACAAATTATTCATCGTTTCTGTATTTTCATGCATGCACTTAATAGACATGGCAATAATTCATTCAGCACTATATTATATAACTTCAAAAAAATCTTATATGTAAGGGTAATGCTTTCTATTTGGTCGTGTCAAATGTGCAAAATCATGTATAGGAAACATTTGGATATTTAAATAAAAACATAGGAATAGTTTGTAAATATACTCTAGTTTATTCTAGAATCCTCTTCGTATATTCAGTATATTATTTCTTAGCATATTCCTCTTTATTATATTATTGCTTATATAACAGAAATTCCTGGTGCAGTCGTTTTTTCACTCTTTCCTATATCCAAAGTCTATTGAGAGGCAACCATATATTGTGCTTATTTATTAGAGTAAATACACTAGGTGTGTTAATTACAACTGTAACTGCTTTACTTGTGTTAAGCAGAACAGATTAGCAATGTTTAGAACTGTCTAGAAATGCAGTTAGAATGCAGTTACAACAAACTCTATGCTGAGTCAGCATAGCTGTAACTAACCGAGTTAGTTACGTTACCCTAAAATTAGCAGTAAGCTATTTCCTGTATAAACAGAATCAGTTTTCTATATCAATTCAAATAATATTCTCTCAACTGAATTCTCTCTTTTCTCTTCATAGAATATTCAAGATGATGAAATATTCACTTTGGAATGCGGATTTGAAACATGGCCATTAATGTTTCAAATGCGAGTTCCAACAATTTGATCCGAGCCTCCATTTTGCCTCTTTTAAACACCACCAAAGCTACCAAGATCTTAATGCTATGATACCATGATACCAGTTGATAGAAAATGGTTCCAATAATATATAACTGAATTATTGTTGAATACTCTCCTGGAAAATTACTCTCAAACAGAAGCAGAACATACACAAACACACTTACACAGAATGAAAATATACATAGTACAGAAAGAACAAGGCTACGGTTCTACACCAAGTTTTCGAGATCTTGGTTCCCTCCCACCCAAATTACCACTCAAAAACTTCTTGACAACCCATTATGAGACTTTCCTTTTTCCTATTAATTCTTACTAACACACATACCTGACAGTACAATGAGTTATTAAAACATAAATGCAACTAACTGCATCGTAAAACCTAACTGCAACAATTAACTTCCAACAAACTAACTTCGGTCAGTTTTGAACAACACCATCTCTTCTATTACAGTTAAAAGTCTAGCATATCACTACAAGAAACATGGCATACTAGCATTAATTTCTTGTAGCCATTAAGTTTATTTTAATGAAAAAAATGCATGCGAGATTGAATCCATACAATTGGAAAAGCTTACAGAAGCAGCTCGTTCTGATTTGAGACGTTTTCCAACAAACTTGGCAAGCTTCTGTCTATAAAGTTCTCCAGCCTCACTATTGAAACAATTAGGTAAAGTTAGTAGCTAAAAATTTACAGCAGCTGTTAAAGAAACCAGCTATCACATTAAAAAAATAGAATTCAAAGATAGAAGAACCAGAACAGTTTTGCAACTTCTCTTTGCAAGACAGTCCTAGGAATCAATCCCTACAATGTACTTTTCATTCAAATGCCGTCGGCAATGTATTTTTTACTCAAACGGAAGATATAGTAGAGAGGAAGTTAGACGCAAAAAAAAAAAAAAAGAGGTTTTTCTATTGATTTAAGTGCCAAGATAAGAAGTTGTAGAGTCTTCTTGCTTGCTTCTCAAGTGGAGACAGAAATTTGGGCCAGATTCGTGATTTGTTTTGAAATCTAAAGATGTAGCAACTCGCAATTTCATTTGCATCCACCGACTCTAGGTGTAAACTCAGCTGTCGAACTAGCAAATCAAACTGAGTCAGTGCAGAGAAACATTTTAACAAGCGAGCCAGCCATATTTTTACGCCTGGGAACATGGACTCGTACAAGCTCACGAGTCAACACGCGATTTCGATAACCTTGCCTACAATAATAATGAGATGCTTGCCTTATTTCTCTTCTCAACTATTTGGGTGGGTACACCATACACCTGATTAAAGAAATAGTAGAAAGAGAAACCCCAAGCAAGACTTATCTACGGGTCTTCTTTTTAATTCTCTCCTACAAGACTTATCACAACTTCCTTTAGCATCCGTTAGTGTTCCTTGTCAACCAGTGACACCTTTGCTGTTTTCCATCACAATTGTTGTGGGGAAAAAAAGGTCCAAATACTCCTACTTAACCCATTATTCTAGGTCAAGTACAAGTATAGTACAGCTAGTACAAGCACAAGTCAATAACACCATGAAGTCTTAATAAGACTCATACCACAAATTACTCTAATATTCTACTAGTTCTTAAAGGTAAATCAACAGAAATTTCATCTTCATTCATATAATAACCTGTCAGCATGTGTCCCCATCATTATACACTAAAAAAAATGAGAATATACCTTAATGCAGGATCTCCTCCAATTCTGCCTCTCACATTATCCTGACTTTCTCCATGCCGGGTGAGTAATATTGGGCGTGGTGTAAGATGAGTATTCATCTGCAAGTAATGAAGAAAATAACCAATTACTTTTAAGAAACTTACATGAGACATGGAGTACAATTTGCAGGGGTGCGTATCATTAATCTTTAAAAAAACACTATCTTGAAAGTTGAGCAAAAGAGGATCAATATTTGTTACAAATGAAACTCCCATAAAACATCATAAATTAAGTAAACGCACTATCTTGAGAAGTTGAACAAAAGAGGATCGATATCTGTTACAAATAAAACTACCACAAAACATCACAAAATAAGTAAAAAGCAATCACCAGCTGGATGACCATACATATGGTAGGTGGAAAATAAGTCAAACCAATGAAAGTAAGAAACCTGCATTTCGTGTGTTACGTGTCTGGAATATTTATTCTGTACTGTTTTTTGCATTTTTCTAAGCAAAAATACAATTGTCTCTTATTTCTCTAGTGTTATTATTAACTCAAACCAATTATCTCTTATTTTTCTAAGCATAAAAACATTGAGCGGAATTTCATTCAAGCATTTCATAACTATTCAGTATTTTTACAGAAATCATTCAGATGAAATAAGAACCAATGACGGTCTCTAGTTTTTCCTTTCAGTCCCTCTTTGTAATTCTAATAATACTAAATCAATTGTTTTGCCTTTGTGAGAATGAGAGCCTTTGAATGTAACTAACTATATTCTTTGAAGAAACTTACCAAGAAAAAGACAATTCGTCCAGGTAGGTAGCCACTGATGTTGTTCACCTAAACCAGAAGAGATAAACTGTGAGTATTAACAAATCAATGTCATATCATAGACCATATTTCTATGTGGCTAGTGAAAACTCATGGAGACACAAGCATTTCATAATATTTATACATATTTTAGCATAAATTTTGGGTGTGTAGAACAAAACACGCTTTCAGTTTTATGCTTTCGGTGAACGATGCAATAACTATTAAGAAACTCAAACGTATGTATGTAGTTGTAGGTTATTTAAAATGTGAGGTGTAGCTGAAATGAAACTATGCCATTTAAATTTCCATCTAAACTGGGGTTTTACAGCTAAATTAATTATTATAATAAATATAAATGGCACTATTTTAGGATAGAATAACTAATTATTTTCTTTTACTCTTCTGCACACATCACTATAGTGTTCTGTAATTATTAGGATAGATTTTTTAGTATCATTTATTAGGATTAATGAATGTGTTCAATAGTGTATACATTAGAGCACGTAATTTGTAACTTATTAATCAACAATATTTAGATTATTCACACCCATCAGTTGTCTTGATTTGGGAGGGAGACTCTACTTCATCAAAATCCTAGCCGCCTTTGTTGTAGCCACTTTGAGCTGCCTGCATTGCAGCTGCCAACACCTTCACTGTGCATATTTTCTAGTGCTGCCACTCAAAAATCGCCTATAGCAACTGCTATTGCCGATTTGCCATTGTCAGCTGCCACCTTTTTTACCAATGACCATACCCACATGTTCACTACCCTGAGACACTTGGTCTCTATCATCTCCCTAAACACTCCCAAATATGCACCGCCGTAGATTGCCCTCTAAAGTAAATGCTTAATCGGGACACCCTGGCCTTGCAAAGTTACAAAAGGTGGTGTCGAGTCACACCTAGTAAACTAGTTTGTCTTGTGTGTCTTGTCAACTTATGAAACATACCCGTGGTTCATTTCCTAATTGGATTCATAGTTGAGGTAAGTCTCCCTTTGCTTTGGTTCATTTGGACATCTAGGTCCTAGTCATACCGAGTCAACATCAGGGTTCGAATACTTTGGTACGTTTATAGATGATTACTCGCATTGCACTTGGTTATTTTTTATGAAAAACAAATCTGAACGTTCTTCATTTTCAGTCATGTTGCCTTAAGATAATGAGAGAGAAAACACAATTCAGTGTTACCAAGAATACTTCGTGAAACTGAAATGATAATTCTCGTGAATACTTATCTCAATCATTTTTAAACTTGTATGGCTTCACATGACATTCTTCATCAAACATCATGTGCTCATACCCTCTCAACAAATGAAGTTGCTATACATAAAAATCGTCATCGTAGAGAAAAACCTTGAACTCTAGCGATACATGAAAATGTTCCATTTTGATTTTGGGGGGATGATGTTCTTATTGCTTGTTATCTCAAAAATTGATGCTTTCCTCTGTCATCGATAACCAAGTTTGCATTTTGTGTTATTTCCTTAGATGCTTCTGCATTCCTTGCAACTTCACATCTTTGGGTCTACTTGTTATCACATAAATTGTTTGCTCAGTCTCTCAAATGTGGCCTTCTTGGTTACACTCGAGTTTAAAAGGCTTATCATCTATGAAGCACATACACCTCTAGGAGTAGACATGTCGCGGTGTCCGACACGTATTGGTGGCGGACACTTGTATGATACTCGTATGACACATGTCACAAAAGTCAGGGACTTAAAAGCTTTGGAGATTGTATTGCGGTGGCAGTTTGCTGTTGATTTAGGGACATGATAATTTTACTTGGTTGTGTATGTTGACAACATTATCATACAGCTGGTGATTGTCCCCATTTTCAAGCAAAAGATCTTGGCAGACTACAATACTTTTTGGGGATATAGGTGGCACAATCCAAAGACGGCACTGTAATTTCTCACAGGGGGGACATGTATGTCATGGATATTCGAGAGGAAACAAATTTAGTGAATGTGAAACCAGTTGACACTCATGAATCCTAATGTGACGATTCTACCAAATAATGAGGAGCCACTATAAGACCCAAAGAGTTAGAGACACACAGAAGACTAGTGGGCAAGCAGAATTATCTTACTTTGCTCGTCCAAATATTAATTTTATTGTTGATGTGGTAAGTCAATTTCATAACTCATCTTGTAAAGGACAGTGGGATGCCATAATTCACATCTCCTCCTAATTCACATCTTGAAGTGCATTAAAGCAGCTTGATGAAAAAGGTCTTATCAATAAAAACAAGGGTCCTACTCAAGTTGTAAGATATTTGGATGTGGGTTAGAAGCCTCTCTCCTATTAATAGGAGATCCATGTACGGGTATAGTAAAAATTTTGGAGGCAAGCTTTTCTTTTGTACATATCATCAAAATAGTGTATAATAATAATGAGTATAATTTCCATTTCCCTTTTCTTGGCTATCACTTCTTAGAACTCGTGTTTAACTGTCATACACTATTATTAGAGCCTGTAATTTGTAACTTAACAATCAATATTTTCATATTAGTCAAACTTTCAAGTGTATCTACTAAAACTTTTACTAATCTAAAGAACATCACTCTATGGTATAGACATGCATATCAAACTTGTGATATTAGCTAACCAGACAACGAGTAAGTAGGGGGAAATTTTCAACATGCATAAATGACATAGTTGAAGATAAAACTTACTTGTATTTGCCCACCACGTCCACTGGCCATATCAATCATTTTGATGTATGATCCTTCTTCTACAGTCTCATAAACCTAGTTATATGAACTCAGCATTATTTAGACCAAAAGCTCACCCAGAACAGTCATTAAAAGTATATATGAAAGACTCACCTTCTCATAATTGGTTACACGAGTTTTAAAATCTCTTAGCCCAGCCTCAAAATCTGGCCTGAAAAAGAAAAGCTAATTGCATACGTCTCCACAAATTGATCCAGATAAGATGTCATTGGTTTAGAGCAAACATACACTTCTGCATAGTCAGGACTTTGCTGAATTTTATAACGAATATTTCTTTCGATCATATCTACATCATTGCATATTGTCTCCAGAAAGATAATCTACAAAAATGAAAAAGCGCATCAGAAGAGTTCAAAATTAAATACATCATTTTCATATTACCTACACAACAGCAGCCATCAGATACTAAAATACCTTGCATCTTCCTTCAGCCAATTTCATTAGCATATTTCTTCGCTGCTTGCTACTGTTTGTGGCATCAAATATCCCAACCTATATTGAAATTAAAACTTATGCAGCGAACTTAAAAAAGCAAAAAAGTAACAAAGTTACCCGACAAGAATTAAATTACCTGACCACCTTCTTTCATCCAAGTTATCATATCCTCGAATGCGAGCTTTGCTACCTAGTGGTACATGATATATTAATACTATGTACACAGAAAGGTCAACATGGTGTTAACATTACCAGAATCATTCATGACAAACACAATACCAGAAAAAATTAACATTATATCAGTCTTAAAAGTAACATGTGTTAAAAAAAAAAGGTATTCAACATAAATTTTTAAGTTGGATTTTCTGCATTTGTTAGATGTAACACCAACAAGACCATTCAAGATAAACCAATGTTAGAAATAGAGCATTTAAATAAGAGTTCGTAGTCGTAAATTCTAATATTTGTCAATATGAGTTTATTTTCTAATTTGTATTCTACAATAATGACATCTTAAAAGATAAATTAGTTTACTTTAATAAAATTGTAATAAGTCTAGAAGTGACATCTTCATAATTCTAGTTACGACCAAAATATGCAGGCAATCAATAAACTTTACACTCTATCATATATCATTTGTTTGAATAAATTTACTGGCTGGAAGTTACCTCATTACGGGCCTCTATGCCTTCAGGATTGTCAGCTCGAAAGAAATCAGCAGACTACATAGAACAATGACATAAATTTAAAAAATTCCAACAGAGCACAACAGCCAACTTTAATATCATGATCCAAGAATAAAACTAAGCCTATGCAGAGTCACTGGGTGGCTGTTAAGAGAATTCTGAGATATCTCAGAGGCACCATTCATCATGGTCTGCACTTTCTTCCTGCAAATCCCCTCAAACCTTTACCAATTACTGCTTTTTCTGATGCTGACTGGGGATCAGATCCTGATGACAGGAAATCTACATCAGGTTCATGCATTTATCTAGGCCCTAATCTCATTTCCTGGTGGTCTAAAAAGCAGACACTTGTAGCCAGATCCAGCACTGAGGCTGAATACAGAAGCCTGGCTAGCACTGCTTCTGAAGTGCTTTGGGTACAGTCCCTCCTAACTGAGTTGCAGATTTCATCTTTACCTCCAACTCTCTACTGTGATAACTTAAGTACTGTATCTCTGTCTCATAACCCTGTGCTTCATGCCAAAACCAAACACATGGAGCTTGATATCTTCTTTCTCAGAGAAAAGGTTTTAAATAAAACCTTCTGTGTAAAGCATATTCCTGCTGAGTTTCAAAGTGCTGATATCCTAACCAAACCCCTTTCTGCCCTCAGATTTCTTGCTCTCAGATCACTTAAGGGTTGTTGACAAGTCTTCTATCGCCAATGGGCATCCCAAGACAGGAAGCACCATTTGAAGGGGAAATAATAGAGTAATCATATAGCTGTTTGTTTATAATAGTTAATTGTAGTTTGTAATAGATATATTCTACAGTTAGCTTAGCTTGATGAGCTGGCAGTGACAGCTGTCACTGCAGCCTCTATATAACAATCTAATTGAAACAAACTCATCCAAGAGAGTTTCTATTGAATCAATAACAAACTATTATTCTCTCTCTATGTTCAGTTTATCTTTCTCTATTAAAAACTAACTTTTAAGACACAGAGTCAAGCTCTCCATAGTGATCAGTTTAGGTCGCACGATACTCTCTTAAGTAATCTTAGTTTATAATTTTTCCTTAGTTTAAGTGATACTCTTGTATATTTATTTTGTACAACCCCATTGTGTAATGCAAGTCATTCATTCTAGATTATTCAATTTTTACATTTTGGTTGCAAAACTTAATTGCTTACACTTTTAGGTCAAGCGGCTCATCTGTGATTCCCTGAATCATGGTAGTTAAAACCACATTGTGTTTTAAACTATTAGAACATTTTTGAAATATCCCTGAATATTTTTTATATTATGTTAGAGCATCTTAGTTTATCTTCTAGGATCCATTTCTAATTTTATATCTTGAAGTAAATTATCTCCTAAGAATAGATTCCATATTGCATAATTATTATCATGAATTTTTTTTATTATCCTATTTATTTAGGATTAGGAGTCTTGTATTCTATTGATAGGCATTAGTGTTTTAGTTGTTAGTATCAAATTACTATCAAATTAGTATCGAGTTTGTATGAAATCATATTTCACCATAATCAATAATTATATATTATTTTCATTATCCTTCTTTTATCTAAAACCCAAAACTTCAACATAAACTTGATAGAACACAAAAAGCCCAAGGCATTAACGTTATGCCAGAAATTTTTGAATCCTTGCTCTTGAGGCATAATTCAAAGTTCTTAGCGCATCAATATTCGTTGTCTTTCTTACTAATGTGAGTTCCCTAGCATTTTAGAGCATCAAAGCCCCGTGTCATATATGTATAACTTGTGTCAATTTCAATAGCTAGGAATGGGATTTGTCTTTAAAATGCAAATAATACGTAATTGAGAACGAATAAACTATCCTATGGATTCATTTCCATTAAGTTTACCTGACTAGCTCCGTGCTTAAGGCGACGATACTGTGACATAAAAAAGTGAGCATGTTAACATCATACTTGATATATCTCCAATCTTCCACTAGGTGTGCAAGACTGTAGGGTTATGTTTGGATTGATGGAAGGAAATGGAATGAAATCATTGAAGGTTCCATTGTTTGAATTATTTAAAATAAGATGGAACATAATGGAATGAGTTCCATCCAATATCCTACTTTTTTTCCCTCCAATTTGGGTGGAATAGAATGAAAAAACCTTTTTGTCCATTCCATCACTAAAACATGCAACAAAAAAAGATTGGTAAGTTTATTCCATTATGTTCAATTTTACTATTCATACTATCTCATTTCTTTTCATTCCAGTCATCTCCATTAGATATCCAAACATAGCCTTCATTACAAAGAAGAATCAAGTAAAGAAAGTGAACAACCTTACCAACGTTGAAGTGCTTGGTATTATGACCTAACCAGCGAAGATATCTTGTAAGTTTAGCCGCAGTGAAAGTTTTACCTCGAGCTGGCAGGCTCACCTAAATAAAAGGAAATAGTTAGAAACATTCAATTTCAAATAATTTAGTTCACTAAATCAGATTAAATACAAATGGCAGGGTACTTTGAAATTCAAACTTTTTAAGATATGTTCCTTTTTTTTAATCTCAACTTACAGTCAAAACTCTAATGTAAAGCCAAAAAATAAACAACTTATCAGAAAAGCTACTAAAAGAAGTTCATAACTAGTTATTCTTCAAAGAAGAAAAATACCATGACAATCGCCAAATGTTTATCCTCCTTGGGACCCAGCATCTGATCAGCAATGGCACCAGCTGCAACAGCTCCAGCCGCTGCTGGAAATGAATTCTATCCAAAAAAGGAGGTGCGCAGAAGCAATTGTTTGTATAAAAACACAATTAACAGTTAGAAGGAATATAAATTAATCCATCAAAAATTGATGTTGAATGATAAACAAAATTTAGTTGATTTATACAAACCTTGGTATCAGGCTCCAAACTAGGATTGGCAGTAAAAGTAATTAAACTAGAACATTTTACAATTCTTGGAACTCCAACACCCCTATCAACAAAAGGTCCCTTCTGACCATGTTCCATTCGCAGGGCTGACATTGTTCCCACCGACTGAGATTTAACCAATTTAGAACTTTTATACACTCTAGATGGATCTAGGGTATTGAACTCCGTCTCCTGGATGGGAAATCAACATAGCCAATTAGATATGTCGCACAATAAAGAGTTAATAATGATATAACCTACTAACCTACTTTCTTTTTCGTCTTAACCACTGTTAGAGTGAGATATTAGAGAGAAGAGAGAAAAAGTTAAAAGAGAAAAGAGAGAAACAGATTCTGTTATTGCTTAATTGGAAAGGAGCATTATGCTCTATTTATACAAGAGGAGATGAACATTCAAGAGTTGAATCATTCAAGCTCTACAATTAAGGAAGACTTTTCTTATTCTATTAAATTAAGGCTGGACTTAATTATTCTATAGTGCTGATTATTCATATTCTAAGATATAACTCTAATACTCCCCCACAAGCTCAAGGTGGCTGCAAAGGCTGACTTGAGGCAGACAGGTTGAGCTTGCTGCTGAGCTCCATAAATCTTGAACATGAGAGAGGCTTGGTGAGGATGTCAGCCTTCTGGTCAACACCAGGAATGTGGCAGACAGTGAGAGACTTATTAATCACCTTTTCTCTTACAAAAAAGAGGTCAATTTCCATATGCTTTGTTCTTGCATGAAGAACAGGGTTATGAGCCATAGCAACTGTGCTCTGGTTGTCACAATAGATGGTTGGAGTTGTCAAGGGAATTTTTAGTTCAGCTAGCAAAGTTTGAACCCATAAAACTTCAGCTGTGGTGTGAGCCAAGCTGCGATACTCTGCCTCAGCACTAGAACGAGCAACAACAGTTTGCTTTTTGGACCACCAAGAGATCAAATTAGGGCCTAAGTACACAGCTGACCCAGAGGTGGATCTTCTATCATCTGGGTCAGCAGCCCAGTCAGCATCACAATAGGCTTGCAGAGAGAACGGAACAGTGGAGGCTGGAGTGAACAATAAACCAGAGGTGATAGTTCCTTTTAGGTAGCGCAGAATACGCTTGACAGCTAGCCAATGGGACTCCAAGGGGTGTGCCATGAATTGACATACTTTGTTAACAGCATAGCAGATTTCTGGCCGTGTAATTGTTGCATACTGCAGGGCCCCTACAATGGACCGGTAGTGGAAGGCATCAGACAAGGCAGCAGACCCTGTTTTGATGAGTTTGGTGGAGGAAGCCATAGGAGTAGCAACTGGATTGGAATTCTCCATATCAGTTTTGATTAGCAAGTCCCTTAGGTACTTAGATTGAGTGAGAAGGAGATTTCCATTGGACAATTTCTTCACCTCAAGGCCCAGAAAATAATCCAAGTCACCAAGTTGTTTGAGAGCAAACACATGATTTAATTGTTGAGTAACTTGCTTGATGAGAGGAGGGGAGTTTCCTGTGATGATTATATCATCAACATAAACCAGCATATAAATGACAGCATTGTGATGCTTGTAGATGAAAAGTGAAGTATCACACTTGCTGTTTAGAAAGCCAAAGGATAAAAGAGTGGTTTTGAGTCTTTCAAACCATTGCCTCGGGGCTTGTTTTAGGCCATACAAGGCCTTGTGCAAGTGACAAACCAGAGATGAATTAGGGGCAGTAAATCCAGGGGGTTGCATCATATAGACCTCCTCTTCAAGAATGCCATTCAAAAAGGCATTGTTTATGTCCAACTGCTGCAAAGGCCAATTGTAAGTTAGAGCAAGAGTCAAAATAATTCTAATTGTGACCGGTTTAATAACAGGGGAGAAAGTTTCATTAAAGTCAAATCCATGGACTTGATGGAACCCCTTAGCAACAAGCCTAGCTTTGTACTTATTTACTGTCCCATCAGCATTTTCCTTTACACGAAAAACCCACTTGCAGCCTATTGCTTTCCTGTTAGCAGGCAGTGGTACCAAAGACCAAGTGTTGTTCCTTATCAAGGCACCATACTCCTCTTGCATAGCAGCAAACCACTTAGGATCTTGGAGAGCAGTTTTAACACTCTTAGGCTCAGAATTGACAAGAAAAATGGAAGGATTTAGACGAGGTAAGGGTACACCAGATTTAGTTCTAGTAGTCATAGGATGAGTATTGGTGGGGAGAGGCTGAAGGTTAGGATCCCTAGGAGCATAAATAGAGGAGGAGGATAGTGAAGTGGTAGTAGTAGGCTGATTGTTGGCATTTGAAGAGGGTGAAGGAGTAGGATTAGTGCTGGCTGTTTGTGTTATAGGGGTTGCTGACCCAGAGGCAGTAGGTGTGGGGCTGGAATTGGATTGGGAAGAAGAAGAGGAGTGTGAGACAATAGGTGTGGGGCTGGAATTGGATTGAGAAGAAGAAGAGGAGTGTGAGGTAGTGGAAGCAGTAGGAACGGGAAAAACATGAGGGAGAGCTTGTGTGTTAAGGGTTACTTTAGATGAGGAGGAGGATGGAATGGTTGATGAGGGGAGAGAAACATTAGAGGAAAAAAGATCATTGTAAGGAAATTTGGACTCGTTGAAAAGAACATCTTTAGAGATGAATATTCTACCACTTGGAGAGAGACATTTGTAACCTTTGTGAGCTGTAGAGTACCCTAGAAAAAGGCACTCGTGGGATCTAAAGTCAAATTTTTGAGAGTTGTATGGGCGAAGGAGAGGAAAACAAGCACACCCAAAGACTTTAAGGAATTTATAGTCAGGATTTTGATTGAAAAGGACAGCATATGGTATATGTTGATTGAGAGACATGGTTGGTAACCTATTTATTAGGTAGACAGCGGTTAAAAAGGCATGGTCCCAAAATTTGAGAGGTAAAGAGGCATGACTCAAGAGGGTTAAACCAAGATCAACAACGTGTCTATGCTTCCTCTCCACTACACCATTTTGGTGATGAGTGTGAGGGCAAACTAGGCGATGAATAATGCCAAGATCAGAAAGAAACTTTGTAAATGGGCGAAATTCACCACCCCAATCAGTTTGGACAGATTTAATAGGAAATCCAAATTGTAATTCAGCCATGACTTTGAATTGTTTAAAGATAGTTAAGGCTTCAGATTTATTTTTGAGCAAATAGATCCAAGTAAATCTGGTGTATGCATCAACAAAGGTGGTGTAGTAGGTAAAGTTTTGGGAGGATTTGACTGGGGCAGGACCCCATAGGTCACTGAAAATTAATTCAAGAGGAGAGTGATATTGAGTTTGTGACTGAGGGGAGTGCAGCCTATGTGCCTTTCCCATACAGCAGGCAGAACAAAAGATAGATTCAGCTTTATTAGAATAAGGAATATTACATTGAGCTAAAACAAGTCTCATAGTATTAGAATTTGGATGACCAAGGCGTAAATGCCAAGTATGTTGAGAATTATATGAGTTATTAGCTGATACATTTTGATTAGAAACTGAAACCCTATCACTAGTGCTGGAATCAGATCTTGAAACATGAGCATTAGAGTCTAAGGTGAGACATGAGACTTGACTTGTTGAAGGAGACTTAAGAAGCTGAAGATGGGAAAATTGGTACAGGCCATCACTTCCTACACGACCTTGGAGCAGAATTTCATTGGTAGCCTGAGATTTGACATAGCACATATCAGCATGAAACTCAAAGAAAACTCTATTATCAAGACAGAATTTGCTGACACTTATCAGGTTCTTTGTAATAGAAGGAACAAGCAGTAAATTATGAAGAGCTAATGGAGTGTTAGGTTTAGAATGAGAAGGAAAATAAGAAGAGCCTGAAGAGTGAATGTGCAAACCTTGACCGTTACCAATGAAGATCTGATCAGGACCTTCAAAAGGTGTGGTTTGCTGTATGTTTTGAGAGGCATTGGTAACATGATAAGAAGCTCCTGAGTCTGGGAACCAGGCACTGCTTGGAACTGAAGTTGTGTTAGCAATCATAGCATTGGGAGTGATATGTGACTGAGGAACAGGGAGAGGGGCAAGTCTTGGTTGATAGCTTGGGCGTGACCGAGTGTTAACCATGGGCTGAGCAAACTGAGGTCCACCAATTGGTTGATACGGATAGAAATTTTGTAGGTTCATTGTTTGAAAATCAGCAGGTATGTTAGGTTGAAATTGTTGATTGAACCTATGATAGCAGTTAGCAGCAAGATGACCATATTTGAAGCAAACTTGACATTGAATGTTGCTGAACCTACCTCTCCCACGGCCGCGTCCACCACCACGGCCAGCTGCACGGCCTCCTCTTGAATAGGTTGGATTAAAGGTTGAATTCACAGCTTGTTCATTGTTCTTGTTATTCGAGTTATCAGTTTCAGGTTGAGAATTGGCTTGAGTGAGATTCACTGAGGCAGCCACCTCCATTTGTGAGTGTTTCTTATACTTGTTGTATCTCATCTCATGAGCAAGAAGAAGAGCTTCAACTTCTTCAAGTTCTACTGAATCAAACTTGCTTTCAATAACTGAAATAACAGAGGCAAAGTCTTGAGGAAGACCTTCAAGAATCACATCAATGTGTTGCTGATCTGGAACTGGATCTCCTACTGAAGCAAGCGCGTCAACAAGAGCTTTGATGCGAACCAGATAATCACCAACAGATTTGTCTTCAAGTGTTGTAGATCTGAGTTCCGCTCGTAGTTGTCTTGCTTTCGCACGTGTAAGCTTTTGAAAATGCGCAAGAATACTTTCCCAGAGCTCGTAGGAATGAACGCATCCAAGAACACGTGAAAGAATTGAAGGTGAAAGCGTGGATTGAAGCCACGTCATAAGCCACTGATCTTGCGTAATCCAGGTGCGATACGCAGGGTTCTCACGAGCAGCGGCACGATCTTCATCAGTCAGGTATTGATTCGGTATGTCACGAAGGTAAAGGTAGTTTTGAAGATTGTTCGCGTTAACGAAAGGATCTACTTGTTGGCGCCAAAGTAGGAAATTCTTCTCATCAAGTTTTTCTGTGATTTTGAGTTGGAAGGACATAGATGTTGGGGTGGCCGGAGCTGTAGTTACTGGAATCGCTGCCATGGATAGAACCGAAGCTCTATGATACCATGTTAGAGTGAGATATGAGAGAGAAGAGAGAAAAAGTTAAAAGAGAAAAGAGAGAAACAGATTCTGTTATTGCTTAATTGGAAAGGAGCATTATGCTCTATTTATACAAGAGGAGATGAACATTCAAGAGTTGAATCATTCAAGCTCTACAATTAAGGAAGACTTTTCTTATTCTATTAAATTAAGGCTGGACTTAATTATTCTATAGTGCTGATTATTCATATTCTAAGATATAACTCTAATAACCACAAGTGGTGTTTTTCATTTTAAACATTAAATGTACTGTTATTTATTACATATATTTGTAACTAGCTTAAATCTAAGTAATATTAGATTGAGGGTGAGTGTTAGAATATCTAGAAAATATCTCACTATATCATTATTCCATTTTAGAATATTTTGGATAACCTCTCACAAGTGGTTTTCCATATTCATCAAGTTTAGTTTTAATATAAAAATAAGGGATAGAACTCTATGCTTTGCATCACTTTGTGCATAATTTTTGTTTAAAATCTCAGTGCGAAAGTTAAATATTACAGTAAACTTTAATGTCAATCATAAATTTTAAATATGAATTTGAAAGTTAAATATTTACTGTTTCAGGTTGATCAATAAAAACAATGTCATCTCCAATGGAAAAGTAATCGCTGCCAGACCCACTATTATTCATTGATCTAGGATTCTCTGTCAAGTTAGCTGCATATTCAAAAGCTGAATTTGAGGGAGCTGGGACAACATAATGCTCGAGATCAAGTTCCAAACCCACAGAAGAGACAGTCTGAACAAAAATTAAAAAGTTAAGCATTAGGTCCATAGTAATGGTTCACAAAAGAAAATCTATTTTATAGACAGATTTATCATAAGTTGGAATGAGAGGAAAAAAAGTAAAACATATCAAAGCCACCGGTTAAGATACATGATTGGACAGCAAGTTGTGTTACGTGGCATGGCAGTGTAAGAGAAAGACATGTAATTCATAAGTAAACTTTTTATTTGGATTTTTATTTGGATGACAAGTTGGGCACCACTAACTTTAAAATGTTACTATTTAATATTATAAGCACAAAAATACAAAGTATGAGACAAATTAGCATATTTAATACTTAACTAATCCAGATTGAACAAATCAACATATTTCTTTGTAACAAAAACAAAGCACGAGACATCATGCATGTTCACATGAGCCTTTTTAACACAGTCATCTAAAGAATTGCAACCAGAGTAACACTTTTTTCTACAGCTACCGGAAGGAGAACAATGTAGTGAAGTACCTTGAACCATAGGGACAAAGTAATTAAAAACGAAGCAAAATGGCATACGGAGTCTTACATCAATTTCTGTCCGAGGTTCTGAATCTATGCTGACATCAGGTATCCCGCGTGCAGCCGATGGATGGAAATTCTCCCTATAAGCTCTCCAACTGGCTGCAAGGTCAAAGGAAGAAACTCTGCTTGCTTGAACAAATACTTTATACTCAACAGCTTGATCGTTATCAAGCTTAAACGAAGCAAGCCTAGCACCATCTTGCAATGCTCCCCCGATGAGCACACGGCTCGGATCTTCCTCAACAAAACAAGGTGAATTGGCATCCTTTGGCTTTAAGAGGAACTTGAAATCCAAAGCTTCTGAAAATCCCAAACAAAATCAATATATAAGATTATAAAATGTAGGCCAGACATACAAAGCATCTGCACGATGATGCCAATAATGTTACTACCGACCAGTGAAAGAACTTGGAAAGAGCTTATTTTAACTCATTTGATGACATAATTTATAATATTGTTGTAATAGTGTAATATGTCAATTTATTTTTATATTATGGAAACAGATTATGGTCTATTTGGATAAACAGCTTATTTGTAGCTTATAACACAAGTACTTATCAAAATAAGTTCTTATGAATAAGCTATTTTTATAACAAAAGAGAAAACAAATTTAAACTGTTTGTATACATGTTATAAATTATTTTCGTAAGCTATCTTGAAGAATTTACAAAAATAAGTTCAATTTTTTTTTAAATATCATAAGCTGTATTGATTAAGTCTCCCAAACAGTGTCACAAAACTTATGACAGTAAAGAAGCTCATCCAAACAGGCCATAAGACATGTCCATGAACTGTTTTCAATTTATTTTCATAAAATACCTAAAATAGTTTACTTGAAAACAGTTCGATTTTATTTTACACTTTGTAATAGAACTAACTTAAACATAAATACTTAAATGGTAAGCAGTTATGTTGCAAACAATTCGTGTATGTTTGGTTTAGTTTTTGGAAGAGGCAAAAGCAATTCTATAGGTATAAAATTAATTTTGGAATGATTTTGAGGTGTTTGCTTTTTCTAAAGTAGAATTAATTTTGACTCCAGATCTGTTTCTATTTGAAGCTAAAATTTGTATTTTTTGAGTTTAATCGTGATTTTTACACTAAAGTTTGTTGATCAACTCACTTTTACACAAATGTGTTCATACATAAATCACTTTACATTCAATTCACTTTTAACCAGAATCAATTCTACAAAATCAATTCACTCAGAATCCATTCTTATCATCGAAAACCAAACACACGCTAAAATAATTTACTTGAAAACAGTTCGATTTTATTTTATATTTTATAGAACTAACTTATACATATAAATACTTAAATGGTAAAAGCACTTATGTTACAAACAGTTGATTAAGCTGTTTATCAATTAACTTAAAGCCAAACCAAACAAAAAAAGTGAGTAAACAATACCGTGATTTTGAGGAACAACAAAGCTAAACTCCCACATTGACGCTGATTCCCTTTCCATCGAAAGCTAATCCAAAAACAAAAACAACAACAACAATCACAAAACAGAATCACCTAAAAAAAAAAAACAGAACACAGAATCGTAAACGAATCAAATTTACAGCTCTAGAAGAATCACAATCCCCAACCAATGCGGAAGAACACAAAACGTGAGGGAAAAGGTTTCCCGCAACAGCACCAATTGGATTCTCCATCTTGACGGAAACGTAGAGCAATTCAGGGATTCGTAACGGTGTTTGAATGCCGGTCCCGTCTTGTTCTTCATCGGTAACCGTTGCCATATTTTTCTCTTTCGCAACGGTTGGTTAGCGTTGCAGAGAGTAATGTGATGAGAAGAGAGTGTAGAAGGTTTTATCGTTGTGAGAACTGTATTGACGTGGAATGTATATCGCTATCAGAGATTTAACTGTTCTTGTTTGTTTCTTTCGATATATATGTGTGTGATGAGGAGAAAGATAGAGAAAAGGATAGAAACTTTTTTTTCATTTTACGTATTTTATATGTAAAAAAACAAAAACAAAAAATGTTATCTATCTATATTTTCAAAGTTCATATATAATATTAAAAAGTTTGATATTAAATTTCTGTAAAAAAAACAATTTTAAACTCTTTTATAATTTTTCAGATTTTCTTAGATACACTCCTCACTTTCACATTACAACAAAGATTATCTCTAACTACCTACGTAGTAGTCTATGTGATATTTTTTTACTTACGCATTATATTTTATTTTCTTATTTTTTATAAGTTTTATTAAGATCAAAGTTTTTCATATTTTTTTATGAAATTATATTTATAAATTAATTATTAAAATATTGTTGTTGGGTTTAATTTGAGTAAGATAGGGGGTACCTGCAAGACACTCCGATGCTAAAATGAGTGACGGAATGAGCAGGCAAAGAGTGTATGTATGCGTAAGAGATGAATACCTGACCCTCTAGGAACAGAGGGTATTTATAGTCCCCAGCGCTGGGCCAAGGTCCCCTCATTGGGCCGACCAGAACTGTCCCAATAAAGGAACTGCCAGGTTCTACGTGTGTAGTGGGGCCCCGCACGTGGTCCCCTTCCTGGTGATGCTCTGCGAAGAATGAGGAGGGACGAAGACGCGGTCTTTCCGGAGTTTAGATGATTCGATAACAGCCAGAGAGGACAGAATCTGCCCTACGGGGAGAGTGCTCGAGCAGGACTCGAGCTAGAGTTCCCTTGGTCGGGGACACCATGTGTCGTGGGAAATGACGGGCATGGCTGCAGTCTGTGGTCGGGCACGTTGGCGGTGATCTGCGGGCGCGCATTCCTCGAGGAGCTGCTTGGATTGGGCCTTTATCCCTGCTTTGGGCCAGGGCGGGCCCAGTCCAGAACAGGAGCCCCCCAAGTCGTTGCTCCTGGAGCAGGAGTTATGACTTAACTTCAGCTCGCCTTTACCATGGGGGTCTGATGCCCGGACCAGGATATTGCTTCCTCACGCGTGCTCGAGGAGTTTCTCACAGGTTGCGTTCGTAGCGTAATCCTCGTCGACGCGTGCTCGGGGAATTCCTCGCGGGCTGTGTTTGTTGGGTACACGAGGCAATCCTTGGGAACCGTGACGCCACCCTAGCGACAGTAGGGTCATCATTGCCTAGGGGCGTGGTGCGATAAGCCCATAAAACACTGTGCAGCTCCTCGACCCACCCTCTTTTAGCTTCGCTGAGCCGGCGTTTGAGTCCTCGCAGGATGACTCTATTAGCGGTCTCGGCTTGCCCGTTGGTTTGAAGGTGCTCGACCGAGGTGAAATGTTGTTTGGTTCCCAGTTTGGTGACGAATTTTTGGAATCCGTGGTCGGTGAATTGGGTGTCGTTGTTAGTGACTAGTGCCCTCGGGATCCCGAATTTGACGAGGATATTTCTTTTGTAGAAACGGAGGATGTTGTGCGAGGTGATCTTCGCGAGAGCCTCGGCCTCTATTCATTTCGTGAAGTAATCCACGGCTACGATAAGGAACTTGTTTTGGTAAGTCCCTTGCACGAATGGTCCGATGATATCCATCCCCCACTACACAAACGGCCACGGGGACGACAGTGTGCTCAGCTCGTGAGGGGGAGCGAGATGCATGTCGGCATGCTTTTGGCACTTGTCACACTTCTTAACGTGTTCTTTGGCGTCCTGCTGCATCGTCGGCCAATAGTACCCCGCTCGCAGGGCTTTCCTCGCCAGGGACTTACCGCCCATGTGTTGGGTGTTAATCCCTTCGTGTATCTCCTGTAATACCTCGGGGACTGTAGATTCGTCGATGCATTTTAGGAGGGGAATGGAGAATCCCATGCGGTATAGTTTATGCTCGAGCACCACGTAGGAGCATGCTCGTCGTTTCGGGGCGGTCGCTTCTGTCTGGTTCGAAGGGAGCTCGCTCTTTGTCAGAAAATTATACACTGGGGTCATCCAGCACGAGGTGTCTCTGATGGCGTGCACCTCGACTGGGGTCGAGGACCTTTGGATGCTCGGGCGTGACAGAGATTCTTGTATGACGGATTTGTTTCCGCCCTTCTTTCTTGTGCTTGCGAGCTTGGACAGTATGTCTGCCCTTGTGTTTTGCTCGCGCGGGACGTGTGATATTTCTGCTTGGTCGAACTTTTTCATGTGTTATTTGACTAAGTTTAGGTACTCGACGAGGCTGTCGTTTTTAGCTTGATAACTCCCTTGGACTTGGGAAGCAACGAGTTGAGAGTCCGTGAAAATTCGTACCTCGCGGGCTCCTAGGTCCTCGGGTAGCCTTAGTCATGCGAGCAGGGCCTCGTATTCTGCTTGGTTGTTCGAAGTCGGGAAGGAGAGGGTTAACGAGTGCTCGATCACTACGCCCTCCTCATTTTCTAGGAGGATCCCTGTGTCGCTTCCGGACGAGCTGGAAGCTCCATCGACGAAGATGGTCCATTTGTGCTCCTTCCCTACGGGCGGGTCGTGAGCGGTCATTTTCGTGATGAAGTCGGCCAAGGCTTATGCCTTTAGAGCTTTCTTGCTCTCGTATTGAATGTCGAACTCGGAGAGTTCCAAGGACCATTTCAACATTCGGCCCACCATGTCAGGTCGACCTAAGAGTTGTTTTACTGGTTGGTCGGTTCGCACTATGACTGTGTGGGCCAGAAAATAGTGTCTGAGTCTCCTCGCCGCGTTGACGAGGGCTAGAGCTACTTTTTCTATCTGTTGGTATCTGCTCTCGGGTCCTTGTAGGGCTTTGCTCGTGAAATAAACGGGTTTCTGCCCGTCAGTGGTCTCGCGAATGAGAGCCGCGCTGATGGCTTCGTTCGAGACGGCCAAGTATAGGAATAAAGGCTCCCCGTCGACTGGTCGAGACAGTACGGGTGGTTGGGATATACTTTGTTTTAGGTGGCGCAGTGCCTGTTCACATTCCTTGGTCCATTCGAAGGCCGCTTCTTTGCGAAGAAGTTTGAAGAAGGGGATGGCGTGCTAAGCGGATCTCGTGACGAAGCGGGACAGCGAGGTGAGCATGTCGTTCATGACTTGTATTGATTTCTTCGACGTAGGTGTCGGGAGGTCGGAGAAGGCTCAACATTTGTCGGAATTGGCTTCAATCCCTCGTTCTGTTAGGTAGAACCCGAGGAATTTCCCTGCTTTGACCCTGAACGTGCATTTCTCGGGATTGAATCTCATCTTACATTGTCTTGCTTGGGCGAAGACTGCTTTGAGGTGGGCTGCGTGATCGGTGTCTGCTCGGGACTTAATGATCATGTCGTCCATGTAAACCTCGAGCAAGTCTCCGATTTGTTTGTGGAACACTCTATTCATCATACGTTGGTAAGTTGCCCCTGCGTTCTTTAGTCCAAAGGGCATTACGTTGTAGTAATAGTTGCCCGAGCTGGTCATGAAGGCAGTGCAATGCTTGCCGCCCATGGCCATTGGGATTTGGTTATAGCCTGAATTGGCATCCATGAACGACAGTATTTTGTAATCGGCCGAGTTGTCGACCAGCATATCTATGTTCGATAAAGGAAAAGCATCCTTCGGGCATGCCCGATTGAGATCAGTATAATCAACACACATCCGCCATTTTCCATTATTCTTTTTGACTAGTACAACATTTGACAGCCAGGTTGAATACCGGGCTTCAGAAATAAAATTTGCCTCTAGGAGGTCTTTTACAACTTTTTCAGCAGCCTCCGCTTTCTCCGGAGACTGCCTACGCCTACATTGTACTACTGCCTTAGCGGCTGGGTCTATGGCGAGACGGTGACAGGCGACCTCGGGGTCGAGTCTGGGCATCTCCGCGACGCTCCAGGAGAACAAGTCGGCATTCTCGCGCAAGCAGGCTTTGATTTGCTTCCTTGCCAGGTCGGGGAGGTCGGTTCCAATCTTCACTCCTTTGCTTGGGTCCTCGCCGAGGGGGACGAGCTCGAAGTCCCCGTCCGGAATTGGTCGGAGGGGGATTTGCTCGCTGTTGGGAGGTTCGTCCTGATCGAAACGGGTGTCCAGAGCTATGGAGTCGACCTTTGGGGGAGCTCTCTGCTCTTCTGTTTTGACGGGCGCTGGCTTGTTGGGCTCCTGTCGCATCGTCGTCGGTCTCTTGGCGGGCCTTGTCCTAGTGTCGACCGTGTCGCATCCCTTGGATGCGGAGTTGAAACACCTTCGAGCAGCGGCCAGGTCCCCCTGGATGGTAGCAACCCGTGCCCTCTTGGTGTAGAACTTCATTTTCAAGTGGATGGTGGAGGGCACCGCGGTCAGCTCTGCTAGTGTTGGTTTCCCCAGGATGCAGTTGTAGAGGGACGGGCAGTCGATGACGAGGAAGCGCACCTTGACCTGCCTCATTGTCGTTCCCTTGCCGAAGGTAACCATGAGCTCGACATATCCCCAAGGTTTGGAGGTCGAGCCGTTGAAGCCCTGTAAGTCTGACCCCATATACGGCGAGAGGTGCGAGTCGTCTAGCTGCAGAGTCCGGAATAATTGACTGTACATCACGTCGACGGAACTTCCTTCATCGACGAGGATGCGGTGCACGTCAAAGTTGGCCACTCTTGCTCTTATTAGCAGAGGAATGACTGTGTTTGGGGCTCCTCCGGGGAGCTCTTCGAGGTAAAAGGTGACATGCTCCGACCTACCTTTCACCCTTTCAAAGGTCACCGTCTGAGGAGGTGTAGAGTCGACCAGTTCATCCAGCTTTCTCTTGGCCAAATTGATGGTTAGGTCGTTGAATCCTCTACCATTAATGACCATGGTGGAGGGAAAGTATTCCCATCTGCTGTGTATCGTGAGTGGCTCCTGCAGGTGTTCGGGGACGTAGAAGTCCTCCGGTCTGG